AAAAAGCCTCAATTAACAAGTTTATGCATCCACTAAGGATACACCAAGGATATAACTGCTGGAGCTGTGCCATCTTAATATTCCACAGCCAACTCCCCTCATATTTCCAACAAGAAGGGATGTTGGGCCTAATTGAAGAGATCAATTGTCTTAATCTGGAGCAACATTGTCAGCATGTCATAACTGTTGTGTTTAAGACACAATTTATAGGCCAGGAATGCTGGCAAACAACTTGGGCCCCAGAGGTTTCGACCACCCACTCCTGTTTCTTTGCTCAGTATACCACCTGTGACATACCCAGCTTTCTCAATACATTCCTTCATTCTTCAAATGTCCGATACGTTTAAGGTTGAAAAGATCAGAGTTCATTTTTGTTCCCTTGGAGACCTGTGTAACCCAGCACTAGAGCCTGCTATAAATCAGGAGTAGTTGGAGAAAAACATTTTGAACCATACATACTAAAAAAGTCTTATTCGTTGTGTTGTTGTCCTTAATGTAACACTTTAGCAAGTGAATTGCCACAGTTATTACATGTATCTTTATATTTATCATGTGGACACAATAACTTTGATTTTGAATTAGAATTGAAAAAATTAATTTTGGTTTTATTTTTAAGGCTGAGGGTTTTTTTAAGAGGAGAAAAGACAAGCAGAAGGAGATTTAAAAACATTGTCAGTTTCCACAAAGTACCTTTAAATTGACTTCCTTCAATGGTTTGCCAATCCACTATTGTCAAGTGTCTTGTTGCCTTCGGAAATTTAGAGCCATCTGCTTTTTGAAATTTCCTTGCAACTTGAACAGTCTGGTTTTAAAGCAGTTCAAACTACAAGCTGCAACCACCTGACTAATGACATATTTATTCCTCAGCGCTCAGCCTACCTATAGCATAGAGATTGCTCTATTCCTATAGCATATCTCCTATAGCATATCTAGGAAATTACTGTTATTTCCTAGAATATACAATGACATCATAATGTCCCTGTGCTGCCCCTGCCCAGTTTTCCTTGTAAAGACCAACCCCCACTGTGACCATAAGTACAATGTAATTACAAGTGTTTTCCACTCTGTTCCTTGCTCTATGGGTAATTCTATCCCTTGCACGCAAGAAAGCTGGACTGAAAAGATTATCCCGAGGGGATAATTCGTGGCACCGTGGTGGCGCAGACCATACTAACAGCCCCTCATTAAATTGCGGGTAACCTCTCCTCCAGGTCTATATGGCTCGACCGTGGCTTGCGCCGAAACGTGTTAGCCCCATGGAGCTAGCTACAAGATAACATTCACCATTCAACGAGTCAGTTTTTGAGAACTCACAAAGGCGTACGAAAACATGTGCCCTTGGGTCTGTCAGGAAACGGGGATACATTTCTTTAGGCCTACCCTTAAAACTTGGAAGTTTTCTCACCTTTGATAGTTCACCCAGCGATGCAATGAAAGAACTGGCTAGTTGAGCTGGTGCTGCATCACTGCACCATGATAGGCCAGCGAGGATCACCAAAACTGGGAGCACACACCGTGCGATCATGATTGGAGATTCTGAAAAGCTACGGAGACAAGTTTCAAATCAGTTGGATTTCATAAACAGGTCATCTTGATTAAAAAAATTTCCCAGCTCAGGCCTGCCGGGAGTTCTTGGGCTTTCTTTGCGAGTCGTGGTTACCATGATAGCTCCATGGTGGAACCCTCACCCCAAAATGCCCCAAAGTGAAACGGCACAGAAAGTTCAACGTGCATGACAGGCAGAAACTGCCTAACATGCAAAAGTGTTTCCTCCAAAGTCACCACAAAAACAACAGCAAAAAGTCACACTGTTAATTTTATGACGATAATATAGCTACGCTGACTTACATGTTTATGATACTTACCAACACGAGTTGTTGACGTTTTCAGATGTTTCGAGCGCACTGATAACAAAAGGTCTGAGAGCGGGACCAGTGACTCGACTGTCAGTCAGCACTACGCTGAAGGATGGTCCTTGCAGCTTTATATAACTTACCCGAGCTACGTTCGCTGGTCACGCCACTATAGCGTGCTGCCTGCACTCTCTGTGAGAACAACAATATGCCAGACAGGAAGATCACCGGTTCCTGGAAGCTTACGTCGCATTTGCAGAAAAGAACTTTGAAGAAGCTGGGAGAGCCAAACAGCGAAAGAAACCCGAGAGAGCCTGTACCAGCCGGAACCATCCTGACATCATTAACAGGTGGTATTTCTTCAAGGTTGGTCTCTGAAATGATTTGATTTCACCATAATCAAATCGGATAACTTAATTCATCGTACTTCCCCGATTCATCTCATTTGAAAGGTCAGTGCTTCCTGGGAATCAGAGTGCAACTCCGTTATCCAGAAAGGGTGAGGGCAATGACGGTCTTTTTGTCTTTCTCTCTAGTTTCTGAGCGGGGGCACAGGCCTCGAGCAGGGGGGGTCGTGCCTTGTCCCTCTTTAGTTGCACCACTGCCCCCCCCAAGGCAAAACATTGCATTTGTAAAATATCATTTCCCTTCTTTCAGAAAGCGTATGAAAAGTGCTTAAGTGTGGCCTCACCTCAAAGAGAGGCTATAAAAGGTTGCATGAAAAAACAATCCAAATTCTTGCCCCCCCCAAAAAAAAGAAGAATTATCCCATTTTAGACAATGGGTTCTACACCCGTCAATATCAATTACTACCACTGCATGGCTTAGTAAAGGCCAAAAAATGGCACTCAGAATTCGTATTAAGGAAAAGTATTTCACCCATCACCCATCCCCTGTAAAACGAAAATGGGAAGTGGGCTCAACTGTAATCATCCTTCTGCCGCGGTGCCACTTTTTAAAACAGACAGCATCGGTTCGCCGTGCGACAGCAGCAAAGAGCACTCCTGAAAAGGGGGCACTTGTGAAAAATGGCACCTGTAACAAAATATAGGTGACCGTTAATAACAATAATAATAATTGGTGTTTTTTTTAAAACTTCGGAATCCTTCAGCACAACTCAGTCTTTGCAATTCAAGAAAACACATAAATAGGGATAAGAAATCAACCCAACTGAGGTAACAGAAGCGCTCTTACGCCATTGATGAAGGTGTGAGAAGAAAGGCAGAAACAAAAAAAAAACTCGCTACAAAATATTACACGGGCTCGAATGGACTATCGATGATTGACCGAGAATATTTGTATGAGTAAAATGAGCAACTTCTGGCTTCTTCAAGATCAGACATCGATGAGGAGGGGTTCTTATCCCAAGATAATGTCAAGAGCGGATCGAGGAATTGTTCGGGGGGGTCAGCCCGGAGATTAATTTAATGTCTCATTTTTGCGGACTTTATAGTCTCCTATTTGTAACATTCACTTTGTATACATAAGAAGAATCTGTGGGATGCTGCCTTCCTTTTAAATGTTATTTTAAAGTATTTTCCCCATTTGTAGCTGTTTTGTCTCAGAGCAGGAATACCCCCCCCCATCCGCGTCTGAAAGTATACTGGCCCTTGGTGGTTGTGGCAACTTATAATCTCCATCTGCTATTTAGTTTACATTTAGAGGTACTCTGTGATAACGAGGCTGTTTGGCATCACTTTACAGTCAAACTCAAGTGGATTTTCCGCCATCCGCTTCACTTAGGCATTGTCACGTCCTCACTTGCCTGCTCTCCACCTTTGTCCCAGTTTGAGACGATGTGTACTACGAAGAAAGCCTGTTGGCCAGAACCTCATTGGTTTGTTTTGTTTTGTTTTTTTGCATCATAACCGGCGGCACTAGCCAAGACTTCCTGCAGTGACAAACAAGCCCATTTATAACACTCTTTATTGCTTTTGTCAACATCTGAGCGGAAAACGAAGTCGTTTCCTCAAATAACAGTAAAAAGGTCAGAACGACAAAGTTGCAGCTTCAAGGTCATGGCTTGTCAACTTTCAAATTTCTGATACCATCAGGTTTGCAGTTTGAACACCAAAACAAAAAGCATCTTTTTGCAATATTTGGCAACAGTTCCGTGGTGTTCTGGTGACAACCTTCTCAGTCGTTCCAACTGGCGTAACTAGGGGTAAATTTCCGGGGGGGGCACCCGCGTGCACACATTTTTTTCAAGGGGGAATCACAAGATAATAAGCTGCAGCTGCATACCTATATAAACTCAACAGAGATTTCAATTAGGCCATCGGGAACACGTGCCTCCGCTGGGGACCACGAACCCCCCCGTCCCACTGCAAAAACTGTGGTGTTAAAATCAACACTTGTTGGTGTTATCAGATGACCACACCATAGGGTGGTATTTTAACACTGCAGGTGTTACTTTGCACAGCAGTACGTGTTACGATGGACTGGAGGGTGTTTAAGGTAACACCAAATACACTGTAACACCAAAAATTTATGTCAATTCCTTGGGGGAACGAAGCCTGTGAGAGTTTACTTCCCGCTGCGTGTCAGTGGTAAAACTGCCACCCCAAAACGGACTTTTTGCATCTTTCGTCATTATAAGCATAGTTTTCACAATATCTCTTAGGTCTTGCAGCAGCACGAAGCTAAGATGCTATACTTTCAGAAAATAACCAATAAAGTGATGTTCTTAGTCATTTAGGCTCGCGGATTTCATGACAAATGTCACATTTTCCGTCAAAATCGGGCTTATTTCCTTTGTGAAATCTTTTTTTTTTTCATGCAACTCCAAACTTATCCAAAGCAATTTTTCTTTTGGAAATATCCCCATGCCTTGCACCTAGTTTATTAGCGCCACGGCTCTCCATT